AGACTCCAACTTATTGCTGCCTTGCCTCTGGTCTGTTGTCTAACTGAATTTGGGCTTGGTCGGTTGTAAATTCTGGATCCTCAAGCCCATATTGAAAATCATGAAGTACCCAGACCAATAACTGATTGGACCTGGGTCATGTTTAAAACTTAAAAGGAAAAGAGTTGGTTCAGTCCAGCCCGGGCAGATTGTGCTCACGATTAATCTTTTTCTTTGCAGTACCTCACCATTAATATCTGGCACGTTACGAATGTAGTTCAGCCCAGAAACTATTCATGGGCCTAAGTTGGGCAGAGTAAAGAACAGCCCATAAAGCATGTGAGCATGTTTAAAAAAAAGTAAAATCCAAGTACATTTGGGTAGGGCTTTGCTTTTGGGATTTTTATTACAGAATACAGACGTCAGAGATGATGTTATGTGTCCGATGAATCCTTAATTATGGCGTGAAGAGAAAAAGGAACCACCAGCAGAGCAAAAGAAAATGGGTATGCCCCACTCTTGGAGGGAGAGAAGGCCACTACTCTACACTCTACACCATTCATGCATGTTCTGTTCTAATAATGGAGGCTGTATCTCATCTGCACATGGAATCAGTTATCTTTGATATGAAGCAGGTCTTTTTCACTCCTAAGCTGGATTCATTTCCATCCAGTAACAGACTCTTCTTGTTTTGTTGGTGCCAATTGAAAAATGCATTGTTCTTTGTCTCAAAAGATAGAGTTGTGGTCATGCTTAAATTTGGTGGGTATTGGGTAGTAATCAAATTCATAGCAATGGTAATGTATTTCTGGTTCTACCGAATTCAGAGTTGGGTTGGACAGCACCAAATTTTCAAATGAGTACAGAATATAGTAGAGCACACGGAGTGGACTGAGTGAAGTAATGAGCAAATTGAAGGGTGGTTATTGTTGTGACATTGATAACCTAATTTTTCCAAGTCTAAGTCATTATTAAGGTGAATTGGGTAGCTGTTAGGAGTGGTCCGGTGATTCTTTAAGTAAGATTCGCAAACAGGATAGGCCATGAAGGTGGTCGTAGTCACCCTGTTCCTCTTTTATTACACGTTTGAAAGAATGTGGGAGATATAGAATGTCAAATTGATTACGGATGCTTGATTTTCAACTATGGCTAATGTTTACTTTTTCTACCCTATTTTCAGAAATTTAATTTATACTGAAGTTTGAATTGTTTATATATGTTTAGCTTAGTGCTTGCATTATTTTCATCATGTGCATTACAATATCTTCTTTCCAACATTCTTTCACCTTACACTAAATGGTTTATTAGATGAAACATGCAAGTTGCTGTTAACAACTGTGTAGTGATTCGTGCCAACATCTATCTGCATAATTGTACGATCAAATAGCTTTGCCATTGGTCTGACTCAGATATCCATCAAAGCTTAAAATGATATATAGGATTTTATAATCATGGAGATATACATATATTGGAGTGATGAAGATAAACAAATATGGGAGCCAGCAAAAACACAATAGCAATTCTACTGTAGTATGTGAGAGAGTATAGTTTAGTGGGACGCCTAAGATTTCCCTTTTGACTTGCCTTCTTCCAATCTTTTTGCATGATACGCGTCTTTGGACCCCAAATCAAGCCCTATATATACCAACCTCCATCTGCATTCTCAGCCATGAAAACATTCCCAATGGCTGATCACAAGCTATTTGGTGTTGTTTTGTTTGTGTTATTAGGGATTGAAATAAGCTCTGCTAAAAGAGCTCTTTTAACTCTTCATGAAGTTGCTACTCACATTCCAGCAGTTGGCGTTGGTGCAAAATATGGTGCCACTGCTGGTGTTGTTGTGGGTGTAGGTGGTGGTGGCTCAGGAGGAGGAGGTGGGGGTGGATATGGAGCTGTAGGAGATCATGGCGCTGGTGGTTATGGTGGAGGCAGTGGTAGTGGAGAAGGTGGTGGTGCAGGGTACGGAGGTGCTGGTGGGTATGGAGGAGGTGGTGGCGGTGGAAGTGGTGGTGGTGGTGGTGGTGGTGGTGGTAGTGCTGGTGGAGGTGCTGGATATGGTAGTGGAGGCGGTGAAGGTGCTGGATACGGTGCTGGTGGAGGACATGGTCCTGGTTATGGAGGGGGAGGTGGTGGTGGAAGTGGTGGAGGAGGTGGTGGTGGAAGTGGCGCTGGAGGTTCTGGTTATGGTGGTGGTGAAGGAGGCGGTGCTGGTGGTGGCTATGGTGCTGGTGGTGCTGGTTCTGGAGGTGGTGGTGGTGGAGGTAGTGGTGGGGGTGGTGGAGGAGGTTATGGTGCAGGAGGGGCACATGGAGGTGGATATGGTAGTGGAGGAGGAGCTGGACAAGGTTATGGTGGTGGGGCAGGTGGGTCAGGAGGTGGTGGCGGTGGTGGGTCTGGTGGCGGTGGTGGTGGTGGAGGAGCAGGACATGGTGGCTATGCACCTTAATGACAATAATAATATATTTTTTTTATATGCATGACAATAATAATAATAACAATAATAATATATTCTCCGGTTCTTCCTGTACAAAATAAAGTTAATATGGAGAAGAAAATGCTTATCATACAATATACCAATGTTGAATGAACAATATATGATCTTGTTAGTTGCACCTGGGCCTAGAGGCCCACTGGCATTAGCTAACTTGCTAGGTGCATTCTCCCTTCCTTTGAGTGGGTTTCGAACCCGTCCCGTGTCAAAATGTTTATATATATATATATATATATATGATGTTGTTAGTTGTATTATAAGTTAAGAAATGGATTCTTCTCCATTCCACCCTTAATTTATGTGCCAACACTCAGCTCTGTCTCTTCACTGGTTTTGGTGTTCACCACCATCGGTTCATTTTCCTACAATTATAATCCATATTAGTTAGTATTTAATTTAGAGCATATTTGGT